ATAAATTTAACCACCTAGTTGTGCCATATATAAAATGCTCTTCTTTTTAAAAAAAATTAATTAATTAACTTTCTTATTTTTAGAGAGAGGGGAAGGGAGGGAGAAAGAGAGGGAGAGAAACATCAATGTGCGAGAGATACATTGATTGGTTGCCTCTCACATGCTCTCTGCGGGGGAGCTGGTGCGGAACCCAGGCATGTGCCCTGACTGGGACTGAATTGGTGACCCTGTGGTTCATAGGCCGGCATTCAGTCCACTGAGTCACACCAGCTAGGGCTATACAATGCTCTTAAACTTGTGCAGTGCTTTCCTAACTATAAAGCAGACATTTTTATCTTATTTATTTAAGAATTTTTTCAATTTATTGATTTTTTTTTTCTTGAGAGAGACCGAGAGGAAGGGCAATGGAGAAACATCAATTTGTTGTCCCATTTCTTTATGCCTTCATTGGTCAATTCTAGTGTGTGCCCTACCTGGTATTGACCTTGAAAGCTTGGTTTATCAGGATGACACTCCAACCAACTGAGCCACACTGTCCAGGGCTCAGGTGGTTGTTAATTTTTTTTTTTTTTAATTTCATCCTAAGAACAATGAGAAGCCTTTGAAGAGTTCCATATAGGGAGTGACTAGATTCGTGTTTTAGATTATTCTGGCTATTACGAGCAGAATGGATAGGAAAGGGCAAGCCTGCAGGCCTAAGACCAACCAGGATGTTTGAGTCATCTAGGTGGCCAGGACTTCGGGAGAGAGAAAAGAAACAGGTTGGGCAACTTTTTGCTGAATGCCTATTCCCCGAGTTAAATGTGCATATGTGAAAGTCAATTTTTGTAAAGAGCACATCAGCGCTGAAGAAGTTAGCACACTGTGTGAGTTCTTTGAATAGGAATGAGATGGGGAGCACTGAGAGGGGAAAAAGAGAGGATTTAGGGGCTACCTGATGTGGGTTAAATTCACTTCCCAGATCTGTGGCCTTTAATATGTCATGGGCATAGGTAACAGCTCTACCTTCTTGCTCTGGTCTGAAACATGTCATCTGCAGCCTGAAATACTCCAGTATTCTAGTATTCTGAACTGGTCTGTCCGTTCCTGGCCTTGCCCTCCTGATCTGATGCCTCACAGAGTCCCCAGAGTAATACTTCAAAAACATATGTAATATTCCCCTTCTGCTAAAATCTCTCAATGGCTCTCTATCTTCACTGTTGATTTTTTAAAGTTCTGTTTATTGGGGTGGCATTGGTTAATAAGGTCACATAGGTTTCAAGTGCACATTTCTATGGTACATTGTGTGCCCACCACCTAAAGTCAAATCATCTTCTATCACCATATACCTCCCCTCCCTCTGGTAAACACCATACTGTTGTCTGGATCTATGAGCTTTTATTTGTTTCCCTTGCTTGTTTGTTGCTCTACTTTGATATTCTTCATTGGAGTGAAAGCATACGATTCCTAACTTCTGACCTCTTTCACTTGGCGTGATATTCTTAAAGTTCATTCATGTTACAAATGGGAGTATTTAATATTTTCTTTTTTAAAAGTATATTTGATTGATTATGCTATTACAATTATCTCATTTTTTCTCCCCTTTACCTCTTTCTCCACTGTGCAAACCCCTCCCTGCAGCATTCCACCCCCCCCCTTAGTTCATGTCCATCAGTCGTACCTATGAGTTCTTTGGCTTCTCCATTTTCTATACTAATCCTAACCTCCCCCTGTCTAGTTATACCTACCAATTATGCTTCTTATTCCCTGTACCTCTCCCCCCATTTCCCCCTCCCCCCACCCAGCTGATAACCCTCCATGTGATCTCCATTTCTGCGATTCTGTTCCTGTTCTAGTTGTTTGCTTAGTTTGTTTTTGTTTTTTAGGTTCAGTTGTTGATAGTTGTGAATTTGTTGTCATTTTACTGTTCAAATTTTTTATTATCTTCTTTCTATTAGTTAAGTCCCCTTAACATTTCATACAATAAGGGCTTGGTGACGATGAACTGCTTTAACCTGACTTTATCTGGGAAGCACTTTATCTGTCCTTCCATTCTAAATGAGAGCTTTGCTGCATAGAGCAATCTTGGATGTAGGTCCTTGCCTTTCATGACTTTGAATATTTGTTTCCAGCCCCTTCTTTCCTACTAGGTTTCTTTTGAGAAATCGCTGGTAGTCTTATGGGAACTCCTTTTGTAGGTAACTGTCTCCTTTTCTCTTGCTGCTTTTAAGATTCTTTCCCTATCTTTAATCTCAGGTAATGTCATTATGTTGTGCCTTGGTGTGTTCCCTCTTGAGTCCAACTTCTTTGGGACTCTGAGCTTCCTGAACTTCCTGGAAGCCTATTTCCTTTGCCAGAATGGGGAAGTTCTCCTTCATTATTTGTTCAAATAAGTTTTTAATTTCTGCTCTTCCTTGTCCTTCTGGTACACCTATGATTCAGGTGTTGGAACATTTAAAGATGACCTGGAGGTTCCTAAGCCTCTCATTTTTTTGAATTCTTGTTTCTTCATTGTGTTCTTTCTTTTGCTCCAAATCATTGATTTGAGTCCCAGTTTCCTTCCCTTCACTAATGGTTCCCTGTATATTTTTCTTTATTTCATTTTGCATAGCCTTCACTTTTTCCCAAATTGTGTGACGATACTCAACTATTTCTCTGAGGATCCTGATAACCAGCATTTTGAACTCTGCATCTGGTAGTTTGGCTGTCTCTTTCTTCATCGCTCAGTTCTAGTTTGGGAGCTTTGATCTCTTTTTTCATTTGGGCCACATTTTTTGGCCTTGGCATGCTTGTTATATTGTTAGTCGAGGAGCCTTAGGTATTCACCAGGGTTGGGCAGCCCACGTCAATGCACTGTGGTGCTGTATGTGGGAGAGAGGTCAGAGAGGAAACAATGCTGTTCGCTGGGCTCTTGCCCCACTTTCAGTTACTTCCCTTGCTACCCACAAGTGAATTGGATCCTTCTGTTGCTGGTTCCCCTGGTGGGTGAGCTTGTGTGCATTCTAGGACAGCATGGGCCCCTCTAAGGGAATCTCTTGTAAGACTGGGAGTTTCTCCTATTGCTGCAACCCATACAGATTTTTACAGCTAGAGGTTCTGAAGCTTTATTTTCCTGGGCTGGAACCCTGGGTCATGCTGTCTCACTCCCCAGTTGTTCCTCCGGGTTTATCCACACTCTAACGTGGGACTGCCTGGCCCACCAGCCACTGCCTTGCTGTGTGTCCTCTCTATCCTGGCTGCCCGTCTACCCCTACTACCAGTATGGATGAATGTTTCTACTAATTCCTTAGTTGTGGGGCTTCCACAGAGTTTGATTTTCTGGCAGTTCTGGTTGGTTTTTTTAATTTTTAAATTTGTTGTTTTTCTTCTTTTGGTTGTGCAGGAAAGCAAAGCACATCTACCTATGCCCATCTTAGCCAGAATTCTTCATCTTTTCTTATGGCTGAATAGTACTACATTGCATATATGTACCACATTGTTATCCAATCATCCAGTGAAGGACACCTTAGTTGTTTCTATATCTTGACCGCTGTGAATAATGCTGAAAGGAACACAGTGGTGCATATATCTTTGCAAATAAATGTTTTTGAATTTTTTTGTAGATATCTGGAAGAGGGGTTGGGTTGCTGGGTCATATGGTAACTATTATTATTCTTTAAAAATTTATTTATTTATTTATTTATTTATTTATAGGCAGGGGAAGGGAGGGAGAGACAGAGAGAAACATCAGTGTGTGGTTGCCTCTTGCATACCCACTACTAGGGACTTGGCCTGCAACCCAGGCATGTGCCTTAGACTGGGCATTGAACCAATGACTCTTTGGTTCAATATCCAGGGCTCAGTCCACTGTGCCACACCAGCCAGTGCCCTCTTCTTGATTTTTTTGAGGAACCTGTATACTGTTTTCTATAGTGGCGGTACTAGTTCACATTTCCACCAGCAGTGAGTGAGTGTTATTTTTTCTCTCCAACCTCTCCAACAGTTGTTATTACTTGTCTTTTTGGTAATCATAGCCTACGGGACCTCTACCATCTCTTTTCTCACCTCTTCTCCTACTGTCTCCCTTTACTACCACCCTTTCCCTCAAGTCAAAGACTACTTTATTGCTCTTAACATACAAAAGACAGCCCTGGAGGGGTAACTCACTTGGTTAGAGCATTGACCTGATATGCCAAGTTTGTGGGTTTTCTGTGTCTCTTCATTTTTCTCTCTCCCTCTAAAATCTATAAACAAATTATTTGAAAAAATACAAGAGGCAACCTCATGCCTTAGGGTTTTTGCATTTGCCTCTTCCCTGTGCTTGAGATGCTAGTCACCTGACTTACTCCCTTTGGTTGTTACTGCATCTGAAATTTATTTACTCAAATGTCATCAACAGGGAAAGACTGAAGGGAGGATGAGAGTATTTCTAATTTTCTTGATTACCGTAGCTCCTTTCAGTGGAACACAGGGATTTTCTCTTTTTATTTCCCTATTGTATCCTCATAGTCTGAAACAGTGCCTAGGAGATAGAAAACACTCAATAGTATTTAATTATAATAATACATCTAACAATTACAAAGCACTTACTAAATAGGCCAGGCCTACTTCTAAACATTTTACATATTTAACCCTGGCAATAATTTTATGAAGAAAACAAAATGACGGAAATGAAGAAATGAGGGAAACGGAGGCTCCGAGAAATTAAGCAACTTGCCCAAGGTTATACAGCTCCTTAATTGGAGCAGCACTTTGTAAAATGAAATGAATGAAATTGGGTTTGACAGTCGACACAGGGATGGAGCAGAAGCGATCCATTCGTGGGAGCATATACAACACTAAGCGCGCCGTGCCCACCCTACAGCCAAGGTGTCAAGGAGGACGTAAGAGTGTCTTGGGAACTGTGAGGGGTGGCTCCACGGAGCCACAGAACTACCATGCCAGTAGACACTTGGTACCCGGACACTGGAAGCAGGAAGTGGCGGTGGGCGTCGCTCAGGGTGACGTCACGATAGCGCCGGGGGCGAAGGGCGGGGGAAGGAGGAGGAGCGAAGTGGGCATAGGGGGCGGCTGCACCCTCTCTTAGATCCCCAGGCCTGGAGGGGGGTCTGCACACAGCCGGCTGGCTCTGCCCCTGCCCAGTCCGGTCAGAGCGGGCCTCCCTCGGGCCATCCCGATGGTGACCGGGCCCAGCGGAGCCTGAGCAAGGAACGGGTCCCTCGCGGAGCCGGAGAGCGGGAGGAACATGACATCGCGGAGGTGAGGAGCCCAGAGGGGCCGGTACGGGCCTCTGCCAGGCCCCCACTGCGTTCGGTCAGCCCGGCCTAGGATGGGGTGTCCCAGCTGGGCTTCGGTCGCCCTGTCGGGTGTCGGGAGGTCAGGCTTCCTCCCCACCTCCTCGCTCTCCTGGGGCCGGGGCTCGGCCCCACCGCGCCCCCACCCCTCGGGTCCCCATTCATTTCCTGCCTCCCGGAGTTCCGGCTCCCGCAGCCCTGGGGATGCCAGTCTGGCTGGGGGCAGGTAGAGCCCCTGCGGGAACCGCGGACGCCAGGGGCCCGACTCGGCGCCGCATTCCTGACCCATTGCCTCATGAGAATTGCCTCATGGTGATTCCGAAATAACCCTGCTCCCTTGGGGAGGCTCCTGGGCTCAGGACGCCAGAGGGGAGAGGAGGGAGTTGCGCGGGATGGCGCCCGATGGTAGAGCTGCTCGAGGTCCCTACCTCTCTCGCGCATTTGGGGGCTTCACTCAGGATCCCTGACCTTTCTTTGCGTCTTTTCATTACCCCCTTCCTCCCCTCACGTGTCAGAAATGGAAAAAGTGACTGTATCTGCAGCTGTTAGAAGTATTTCCTTCCTTTGCGATCTTCGCTTTTGAGACGGGAGAGGAAGGGAGCTGAATCTCTAGTTATTTAGTCCTTCACCACAACCTTAAAAGTCAGGTAACATTGATCACCCCTCGTTTTACCGGTGTGGAAACTGAGGCTTAGAGGTAACATGCTAATAAATGACAGGATCTGAACCTAAGAGTCCGAAGCATTAATGAATTAATGAGATCCTTTGAAAGTTCAGGATAATACTCATATGTAATGTTAAGCTGTTGCTGTAAGCCAAATACATTTAATCTTCAGTAAGTCCAGTCCCCACGAGCTAGGTGCTATTGTCCCCTTTTTAAAGACGAGTATGCTGAGTTTCGGAAGTTAGTGGTGAAGCCAGAAACCCTACTGTTAATGACCATGTTGCTCTTACTGTTTTTATAACTATTGCTAATCATTCAAAAATAATTTTTTTAGATTGTATTTATTTATGTATTTATTTACTTTCTAGAGAGGGGAAGAGGAGAAAGAGAGGGAGAGAAACATCGATGTGAGAGATACATCCATTGGTTGCCTCTCGCGCGCCCCCAACCGGGGGCACCTGGCCAGCAACCCGGGCATGTGCCCTGACTAGGAATTAAACCTGTGACCTTTCAGGTCACAGGTGGGCCCTCAGTGTGGTGAGCCACACCAGCCAGGGCTATGGCTAATCATTTTTCAGGCTTAATCTTGTTGTTAAACAGTAGTGTGACCTATTGTTTTCAGATGGTGATCCTGCTATTTCTGTCGCCACTTTATATACTGTTCACATATACGCCTCATTCTTCAGTCTTGATTGTTCCGGTATGGTTGATGTCTTCGACCTTTGAAAAACTCTTTCAAGCTGTTGGGGTTATTTGAATGGGAGATTTTCCCACATATTAGGAAATGTCCACTCAGAATACACCCGCGCATTATTGGTCGGTGGGCCTGGAACAAAAACTGGAAGCTTAGGAAGTGGCTTGGTCAGGTCTGTTGACACAGGTCTGGGTAGTGTATAACTGCATCACAACAGAACAGGGTAGAGCCTCAAATATTGTAATTCTTTAGGAAGCTCTTAAGTAAAATAGTTGTCTGTTCTTTAATCTGTCAAATAGTCATTGAACCTTTTGTTCCTTATGTCTGCTCTTCCAGACAAGTAAGGATCTGCTTCTTTGGCAGACAAAAGGCTAGGGCCTGGGGGTGGGGTAGGGGCAGGGTGGTAATAGACACTGCATTGTCCAGCTTGTTAGTCTAGAAGCAAGAGAGTCTGGGTAGAGCCAAAGCAGCAGGTGATAGAGATGACGGCTGGAAATGGAGCGACTCCTGCTCTTTTCCAACCCTCCTTGACTCACCTGTTATAAAAAAGAAATGTCTGCCGCCTAAAAAGGCGGCTTATGAACATAACACATGCAGTTGGGAATTACTGTTTTTCAGATTATAGGTCTGTTTTATTATTTGTAACCAGCTTTATTGAGGTATAAATGACAGATGCAATAAATTGCATCTATTGAAGTATGTAATTTGGTTTAAGTTCTGACACATGTATACACTTGTGAAACCATCACCACAGTCCAGATAATCAACATGCCCATTGCTGCTTGAGATAGTTCCTCGTGCCCTTTATAATCCCTTCCTAGTCATGCAGCCACTGTTGTGCTTTGTGTCCCTGCACCTTAGTTTGCATTTCCTAGAATGTTAAATTAATGGAATTTTATACTGGGCTTTTAAAAAAGATTTTATTTATTTATTTTCAGAGAGAGGGGAAGGGAGAGAGAAAGACAGGGAGAGAAACATCAAAGTGTGGTTGCCTCTCATGGGCCCAACATAATTATGTTGCGATTTATCCATGTTATGGTATGTATCAAATATTTTATTACTTAAGTTTATTGCTTAATAATATTCCACTGTAGGGATGTACCACCAGTTGTTTATCTGTCTACCTGTTGGTGGACATTTGGGTGGTTTCCCAAGTTTGGCTGTCACACATAAAGCTGCTCGCATTCTTTACCCACAAGAGTTTGTATGGACATGTGCTTTCTTTTCTCTTCAATCAACACTTATCAGCGGTTTGGCTGGAGCGTAGAGTAGATGTACATTTAACTTTTCCAGAAATGGCCAAATCGTTTTTTCAAGGTGGTTGTACCATTTACATTCTCACCAGCAGTATGGATGAGTTACAGTTCTTCACGTACTCATCAGCCCTTGTTGGTATGATCAGTTTCTAAATTTTAGCTATTTTACTGGGTGTGTTATGGTATTTCATTGTAGTTTTTTTTTTAAGATTTTAGTCATTTATTTTTATTTATTTATTTTTAAAAAATATTTTATTTATTTATTTTTAGAGGGGAAGGGAAGGAGAGAGGGAGAGAAACATCAATGTATGGTTGCCTTTCATGCATCCGCTGCTGGGAACTGGCCTGCAGGGAACCGGCCTGCAACCCGGGTATGTGCCCTGACTGGGAATTGAACCGCGATTGTCTGGTTCGCAGGCCCGCGCTCAATCCACTGAGCTACACCAGCCAGGGCTATTCATTTATTTTTAGAGAGAGTGGAAGGGAGGGAGAAAGAGAGGAAGAGACACATCAATGCAAGAGAGAAACATTAATTGGCTGCCTCTTGTACGCGCCCCGACCCCAGACCCAGTCCACAACCCAGGCATGTGCCCTGACCGGGAATTAAACTGGTGACCTTTTGCTTTGTGGAACGATGCCCAACTAATTTTTAGTTTTAATTTGTATTTTCCTTGGTGATTAATCATGTGGATCATTTTTTCATGTGCTTATGTACTGTCTGTATATCTTCTTTGGTGACATGTTTAATTGATGAAATATTTTCCCTCTCTTTTGTTTGTTTTCTTAGTTTTGAGATTTGAGAGTTCTTTATTCTGGATACAAGTCCTTTATCAGAATTGCAAATATTTTCTCTCAGTCTGTGGCTTTTCATTTCTTCTTCTTCTTTTTTTAAATGTGTCTTTTGAAGAACAGAGGCATTTGACTTGGATGAAATCCCTTGTATGATTTTTTTTCATGGATAATACTTTTGCTGTCATTTCTAAGAAATCTTTGCTTAACCCAAGGTCTCAAATGTTTTCTACAAGTGTTATAGTTTGGGTTTCTGATCCACTTTGAGTTAATTTTTTTAAAGAAAGATTTTTATTTATTTTTAGAGAGGGGAGGGGAGGGAGAAAGAGGGAGAGAAACATCAATGTATGGTTGCCTGTCGTGTGCCCCCTACTGGAGACCTGGCCCACAACCCGGGCATGTGCCCTGACTGGGAATCGAACCAGTGACCCTTTGGTTCCCAGGCCAGTGCTCAATCTACTTAGCCACACAAGCCAGGGCTCATTTTTGTATATGGTATGAGGTGTGAATATGTGTTCTCTTTTTGGCAAATGGATGTCCAGTTCCAGCACCATTTATTGAAAAGATTGTCTTTGTTGAACTTGAACTTTGTCGAAAATTGGTTGGCCATTCATATGGGGGTCTATTTCTGCACTTAGTTCTGTTACATTGATCTGTTTGACTCTTTATGCTAACACCACATGATCTTGATTTTTGCAGGTTTTTAAAAAAATACTGTACTTTTTACAGATTTTATTTATTTATTTTTAGAGACATGGGAAGAGAGGGAGAGAAACATGGATGTATGAGAGATACATCGACTAGTTGCCTCTCACACACTCCCAATTGGGGACCTGGCCTGCAACCCAGGCATGTACCCTGACGGGAATCTAACCTGTGACTCTTTGGCTCGTAGGCCGGCATTCAGTCCACTGAGCCACACCAGCCAGGGCTTAATTATTACAGCTTTATAACAAGTCTTGATATCAGATAGTCAATCTTCCAACTTCATTCTTGCTTTTTAACCATAGTATTAATTTATTCAAGTAGTTACTCAACCAGGCAAGCTGAAGAAGATGGGCAAAGATTGCTATTCTTATGCCCAAAAGAGAGAGAGTGAGTAGACAAACCCATGAATAAATAATACAGTTCCAGGTAGTAAAGAATAACTGCTGGAGGGGGGAGATATACCAGAAATGGGGAGAACGTGGTTGGTTTTGATTAGGGGTTTCAGAAAAATCTCTTGCTGAAGAGATGATCAGATGAGCTGACTCCTGAATGACAGGTATCGTTCTGAATTTTGTTTTGCTTAATTATCAAAATCATGATTTTTGACGCCTGTGTTTAGGGTTTAGATTTTGTACACAGTCAGTAATTAAAATGTCAGTATATTCAGTGTCCCGATAACCCTCAACATCATAGGCACGGAAGGGAAGGCAGTGAGAAATTAAATGACATTTCCCCAGATAATTTAGTGGTGGCGGTGCCAAATTTAGATTTTGAGATTGCTTTCCTGCCCTACTCTGCCATGTCCAGCTGACAAAACTGGCTGTACTTTCCGTCTCCCTTCAGCACGTGGCACG